AAAAAAGGAGAGGATTTTTAAAACGTTCTTAGTGTGAAGCGAGGGCTGAGAGTTCGATTGGATCCAGAAGTTTTTTTTCCTTCTCTCTCTCTCCTCCCCCTCCTCCTCGCATCGTGCCACCGTCTCGCACTGTTTTTGATAAACGTTGCTATTCTGCAACCATTTGCTTGCTTATTCGTCTCTCAATCATTCTTGACGATTCTCTCTCTCTCTCTCTGTCTGCACCCCCCCTCCCCTCCCTAACCTCCCACAGCATCCCTCTCTCCTGCTCGCTCTCACTCTCCCTCTCTTTCCCAGTCTGACTGAGGCTGATGTAGGTCAGTGCGTCTGGAGCCTGTCTGGAGCTGCTGGAGAGCCTCAGAGCTCCACGCTTGGTCCTCGACGACCCTCGCAGCGGAGGGCTGCCTCTGTGCCCGAGCTGAGGATGGATGCCGTTCCCTGGGCTGTGTTAGGACAGGACCAGCTCGCCTGACCTGACTCGCCTGGAGGAGGAGGGAAGAGGAGGAGGAGGGAGGGAGAGCAGGGTGACGCGGGGTGTCTGTGTACTTTGGAAAGCTAAGGCGGTGCATGTTTGCATGTGGGTCGTAGATGCACGCGCACAACAGCAAGGGCGAAAATGCAAGAGATAGTAATCGTTGTCTCTCTTCTCATCGACGCACTTGCAAGAGGGGTAGGGGGGTCATTTTCATGCAGTGCTACCTTCACATCCCCTTTTCCTACAACACACACACACACTGTCTCTTTCTGTAACTTCATCGTGATGCTTTATGTCTTTTTCCTAGACCCAATTCTTTGACGTATGCAGCCGTCGAAGTCTCTCCAAACACCACAGCGACCCAGCAAACTCCAAACTGATGCGCCTCGTACGACAAAAACAAAAACCAAAGAAAAAAAACCCATTTGAAAGCAACAGCGGTGTTCTTTCTTTCTTCTTTTCCAGTATATCCATTCCTTTGCGGCTCCTTACGGATCCACTCCGACTGATGTCCTTTCCCTAAAATACTGAATACTGAGAGCATCCTTCGACCATCGCGTGCCCCTTTTTTTTTTAAATAAATGAAAGCCAACGAGTGCAAGGACGACGATGACGACTTTTGCAAGAGAGCGAAAAAATCCGCCACTGACTTCACCGTCTCCTGATTCTGCTCACCTTTCCCTTTGTCCCCCCACTTCTTCCTCAATCTCCGCTCTCATTCTCTGCTCCTTCCTACTCCTCTGGCTTTTAGACAATGCCCCCCTCTTAAAAAAAATCGTTGTATCAGAGTGTCTGAGTGCAGCTGTGAGAGTGGCAGTGTTGTATAGTGTCTGAGTCTGTGCTCTCGATTTGACTCTGAAGCACATCTGGTTCCTGCAGCGGCACGTCGGTGAGTTTGTTGTTGTGTGTTTACGCATCTGTGTTCGTGTGTCTGTATCGGCGTGACACAGCGAACCGTCTCGCCCGCCTTCTTGCTACCCGGAGCGAAGGACGTTTGGAATTCCTGGGGCGTGGCGTCGCCGGCCTGACCACACCTCGGGTGTTTCCCTTCGTCTGATGCCCGTTACCTTCTCTCCACCTAAACTCGTCCGAATCCTTCGGATTATAGTGGAGAGGGCAGAGAGTGAACAACAGATTTTCATTTCACTGTCTCGCCTCCTGCTTTGCATTGCCGCTCTCTGGCTCGCTCATATTGCCCCGACCAAGGATGCAACTCTACGGTTCTTAAATGTAACGGCAAAAAAGGACAGAGGCTTCAAAGAAGCACAAAACAAAGAGTTTTTTCCCCCCATAAAGAAGGAAGTAGATGGACAAAAATAGCTATTTTGTGTACAAAACATCGTAAACGCCTGCAATGTGTAACAGAACATCACGCAGCAGTGTTATGAATTAAGGCCCCAAACTCATCAAACAGACCTGTGAGGCGGTCCCTGATCTTTAGCCTGTTTGAACATGTGAGAATATGTTGGACAAAGGCGGGAGAGAAAACAAGCTGCCGTCAATGCTGCTTATCAGAGTTGAAGATGAAATGCAGAGGGGCAAGTGGAATAAGTAGGCACTGTATGTTCCACGGTAACTTAAAAACAACTGACTTTGTTGGTGCTGTTGTGTAAGGGCTTACTTCAGTAGGTGGGTGATATGGTGAGATGGCCACCTGCACTGTCTGCCACATCCACACAAAACACAGAGGAGACAAACCAACTGTGGATGAGTCAGAGAGAGAGAGAGAGAGAGTGTATGCAAATCTGTGCTTACTCTTCAGTTTTTCTGTTTAACTGCAGGGTGGAGGGGACTTCCCACTGGTTCTCAAACATTCAATCCCTGGAAAAGCTCCAATTCAGTTAGAGCAGGACACACATACACGCACGCATGCCTGCTTGCGTACACACACACACACATACACACACACAAAGGCCTCATTGTGTTTGACCCCGGATGACGAGCAGGCAGGTCAAAATGGTGGGTCATTGAGAGGCGGTTGAAAAAGGCAAGTGCATGGTAATGAGTAGCTCTGCTAGAGATAAACACCCTCACATGCTTTCCCTTCCGCACGGCCAATGGCGTGCACTTATACTGTGACTTTTAAAGCTTAATGTATCCTTTACACACACACACGCGCGCACACGTGCCAATGCTCATGGCACCCCCCCATGACACGTTGGACATGACATGGACGAGCCACGGATCGAGGCGCTCTCCTCGTCCCAGCTGCCTTTCAGCTTCTTAAGCCCCGCCCCCTTTTTACGACACACTGTGATGACTGTGTGCCCCCCACCACCCTCTCCTGCTGGGTCATGAAGGTCTCAGCAACAATAAACTCCCAGCGAAGTCATGTGATGCACACTCATTAAACCTACAGTTTACTCCAGGGTTCTTCTAACATACTGGGTTATTGTTTATGTTCTACCTTTAAAAACAACAACAACAAAAACATGCATATTAAGCACTTTGTCTCTCACATTTGTTTTTCCAGCAGCTGTACACCCTGAGATCATTTCAGGGACACATTCATGAGTTTTCCAAGGATGGCAAAATGGAAATGCACAAAACTATTTATTTCCCTTCCTTTAATGCACAAAAAAAGCCCTGACCCACCCCCCCAGGTCAACATCCTCCAAAAACCCACACCGATGTAACTCCAGCTCTACACCCTCCTGCAGCACTCTCTCATAACAACACCCTCCTTTTTTTAGGTGTCAGCAGAGGTGGGACTGAGCGCCGGTGTGTTTGGGGTAAACACACGACTCCGGCAGCTCCAAAGATGACTGGGCTGTGGGGCAGGGTGGCGTGATAAAGACCTGGCAGGGATCACTGCGGTGCATCTGCCGGCAACACGGTGGAAAGCTACCTGACAGTTGCTTCTCACACATCAGATAAGATTACAGGTAGACCTGCTCCACCTGTTTAAACAAACCCATGTGCACGCGTGCCGCTGTGTGTGTGTGTGTGTGTGTGTGTGTGTGTGTGTGTGTGTGTGTGTGTGTGTGTGT